TCTGTGTAAACTCACTTGGTAGGAATATTTCACCATGAAACTGGCTCTCCATCGCTTTCCTTGTCTCCCACTTTCTTTCTTCCTCTCTGTGTGTCTGGTTCTGTGAGGTTTCCTTTGTAAATGAGTATGCATCAGTTTCTCTTTCTCCACCAATCTCTGATTATCTCCCTTTCAAATTTATTTTCCATCTTTTACCTTCCGTCCTAAGGAAAATAATCAGTCAAAATCCATAAAATAGAGTTACCTAAATTCTTTTTGTGGAGAGAATTGGGAAAATTACACTCACTCATTTACATGGTTTTTTATGCACTGAAACTTGTTTTCAGAAAAATAAATTTGTTGTTTGTCTGCACCACTTTATACTCATGAACCTTGACGTATGTTCACACATCTTCTACATTTGCAATCAATCTATGCACATACTCTATTTTTTAACCTGACATTGTTTTGTCTATGTACATATAAATGGTAATGTTTATGTGTGATTTGTTGAGCCATTCCCTAAGTGTTTGATGGTTGAATTATCTCCACTTTCATTATTGTAGACAATATTGCTATCAACAACTTCGTACAAATTATTATGCTTTATTCTTTTGGCTTTTTCTGATGTACATTACTAAAGGACTGCCATGATCTGATCAAAGGCATTCACTGACTTTAAAATAAAAACACAGGGAATAAAACTCTAAACTATTAAAAACAAACAAAATAACTCCTTCCATTTTGGGTTATAATAATTAAGAGAAAGGCAAAAGACACAGAAATGGGAGAAAATAATTCATTCATACATTCAACAAATATTTGAGTACCTACCATGTACTAGACACTGTTCCAAAAGCAGGGGCCCATCAGTGAATAAGAAGCCCCCAAACCCCTGCCTTTGTACAGCCAATATTCTAGTGGGAGAAGGCAGACAATAAACATAATAGTAAGTGAGCTAATTATATAATAAGTTAGAAGGCGATCTGTGCTATGAAACAAGAAAAATAGCAGGCTAAGGGGAATCAGGAGTGGTAGAGGAACAATAGAAGGATGTGGGTTGCAATTTTAAACGCGGGTTGGGAATAGCATGACTGAGTAGGAGAGTTTGAGCAGAGACTTAAAGGAAGTGAGGAAGTTAGCCTTGCAAGTCCTGACGAAGCTGCATAACAGGCAGAGGGAACAGCTACCGGTTAACAATGCTGGATATCCTGGAGAGACAACTAGGAGGCTGGTGTGGCTGGAGCAGTGAGGGAGGGCTCAGCAAGGTCCAAGGTCGGCAAGACCCACATTGGGTAGGGTCTCCAAGGCACTTACAAGGACTTAAACTTCAAGGAGGCTGTGGAGAGTTTATACTGGATTCACTTTCTTTGAAAGGACAGATGCTGGACCTGTCCTTAACCTCTGAACCAAGTCTCTGGGATGGAACTAGGGAACTGGTGTATTTCTGGCAAATTCCTCAGGGTAGTTCTGTTGTACATGTAGGTTCAGGACTACTCTTTCTGTTCAAAAGCTCCACAGTTCGAGATATAAAATAATTTAATAAAAGGAAGCAAAAATTTCATAGCATTCTTGAGTGTTGGTGATTTAGAGACTCTGGGGATTGATTATCTAGGAAACTGAAGCCCAGAGGTTAAGTGACTTGCTCCAGGTTACACAGTCACAAGAAGCAGCACTTGGTTTCAGATTCACCCGTCTAACCCTGAGTTCAATGTACCCTCCGCTGTACTGGGCTGCCTAATGAGCAGTATCATTTCACTTATCAGGTGGTTAGACTTCCAATAGCTCCACCGTTAAGAACATAATTTGAATTCAGAAGCTCTATAAGGTTAGTTGGTTGATTAAATATTTGGTTATCTAAAAATCAATCAGAAGCTGCTATTGTTTTAACCTTTATAGCTAAGAACCATTCAAAATGTATTAATCACATTTTCTGCTTCTCTAGGGGAATCCTGAAGAGTCATGCCATCTTAGAATTGGAAGGGACCTTAATTGTTCATGATCTTGCAGTGCCTTTGGGCCATAATTTTAAAGTTAGCTCTTATTTAATACTATTATAAAATGCACAAACCATTCAGGTGATCCTAGACATATTGGAGGTTGTGTTTTACAATATATTTCTGATTTAGTTTACTTTCTTTTGATTTGCTTCTTGGACATTTTCTGTTGCCAAATTTTTCTCAAGTTAATTAAATTTTTAAAATAAGTGTTGGTCTTTCTGGCCTTATTCTGTAACTTGGGCCTAAATTTTATCAGGAGTGTCTGAGCTTGTAGTCTTTGCTGTCACCTGGGATGCATTGAAGTGGTGGTCAACGGCAATTGGTTCAGAAATTGCGTCTACAAGCAAGAACTCGGGCCTCAGAACTAAGCTGTGGAATGATTCCAGTGAAACCATTTCTCCTCCACTTGCACACTTCTGCAAGTTTCAGCAGCCAGATCTGTTCCAGCAATGGGGGCAGGTTGCACATTCCCACTGAGAACACTTGGTGGAGATGATAGGGACACATTATTTTTTTCTTTCACTAAGCCAGAATTGGCAGTTGAAGATGTGTTTGTGCTACTGGCTGCTTTGGGAATGGGAAGAAAAATGTATATCTAGTGCATTTCCCCTTCTATCTTCTGGTCCAACAAAGAAGTTGCACTCAATGAAAGACACCGGTCCTAATATGAAATGTTCAGTTAACCCACTAAAGCAGCCTAGTCCTATTCACTAGCTACCTTGAGGTCACCTTCTCTTTCAAGGCTTAATAATTCTTATTTTTAACGTAGAATGGTCAACCTAAATTTGTTTCTGGGTGACTTGTAGCTTCATGATTCAGCTCCTAATGTTCTCTGCCAGAAGATTGGTTGTAATTTCTATTTTATCATGGTCTTCTTGCCTTTCAAAGCCTCAGTGAGTGACTGGTGCCTTTCTCTGGGTAATTTCATTGAATTCCTAGAGAAAACTCTGAAAAAGTAGACATGTGCCATGAGAACTTGCATGGCTCTAAGTGTCAATATGTGAAGGCTGTCATGAGTAGCTCCATGAAAGGTAATGACTGAAATGCGGATATATGAGAGAATCACAGATAAGCTTTAGGAATGATTAAACCCTGACTTCACCATTACATCAGGGACTAATATAGAGAACAGTGGTTTTGTAATTTAACTCTGATGTTGTTTTCCCAGGTCTTAAATTGTCCTTTCGAAGTAGAGCAGATGGTAACTATGAGGCTTAGTTTTAAATGAATGACTGTCTCCATAGCTCAGTCTCAACCATTTAATGTGGTGTTCTTATAGGCCTGGATAGGGCAAGCAAGCATAGACCTCAGGCAGCCTGGAAGGGAACTGTGGTGGACGCTATGATGCCAGGAAAGGACTTACTCCTCCAGCTACCGGGAGTGCTGCCAGCAGAAAGCCCTTGGCTCAGCTGACATCTCCTAGGGGCAGTGCCTCAGCTGAAGAGAACATCTTGCCCAAGGTCGCTGAGGTGGTCTGCATGTAAAGACTGGTCCATGCTGGGATATAAAGGCCCATCAGAACAACTCAGAACCTAGTCCCAACTCAGAACAACTCTGAAGCCTCATCCCAGCTTCAGAATCCTCCCTGCAGGGAAGCCTGAGGCTTGGTCAATTTCACCCTCTGCTCAAACTTGCCTCCCTCCTTTCCCCTCCCTTTATTTCCTTCCACAAATGTTGAATACAAGAACACTTCCTAAAAAGCCTTCCTCTAGCGGCTGAATACCATCTCAGAATCTGCTTCTAGGGCGACCCAATCTGTGCAGAAATTTTATGAGCAATTTGCCTGTCCATTAAAAAATACAGCATAGACTTTTTCCAGGTTAGCTGGAGATGGAAATTTTTGTATCGAAAACAGAGAGCTAAACTGAGAAGAAAAGCAAAAGTAGAAGAATAAGGTTAGACTCTATCTCTGTATACCTGAATTTGGGGTTGAGAGTGATACCTTGCTTCTCTGTGAAGGTTGGAAACTTTCTCTTGAAGTCTTCATCCAGTCACATCCAAGACTGGTACAGGAAGATAAAGGAAAATTAAAAAAACAAACAACAACAACAAAAAAAAACCCTTAACATTGGATACTTCTTTGTGCCTTGCATTCAGCCTCTGTTTTTGCCCTTGTTTGTATAAGCAACTCTAGATAAAAACCTTTCTTAGGCCATCTAATTATCTCGCTGTGCCATTGTGGCAATCGGGCAGGAATTACTGTGGGAACCAGTGACTGAATGGGCAGTGGTGTCTCGCAGCTGTAACTCAGAGTTCGCAAGGGAAGGATGGACAGCAGCCATCCTTCTGAAGGCATTCTTCTGTTCCTCCAGCGCAGCCTTGTCTGTGGGTGCCTCACCAAGGGGAGTGAGGGAAGGCCTGGTTGACTGCCCAGCCCAGAGTGTGAAGAAGAGCAGTTGACATGGGCGGCTGGATAGGGTAGAAACCAGCATGAACATTTAGTGACACCCAAGGAAGAGGCGAACACTGGGGGAGAAAGCCAAGAACCATCAGACAGCTTCTTTCTGTTCTTTCCTTGGATCTTAGGGGAACGTGTGTGTTCAAGGGTTCCTTCCTCCGCAGGGCCTCCCATCCCTTGGCACGAACTTCCAAACCATGAGTAGACATGGAATGGGCTTCTTCTGAAGACTGGGTCACCATCCAACTCAGCCTTCGGAGTAGGCGGTGGGGCTGGGGGAAGAGGACGGAACCATGAGGTCTCTCCATCACTCCCCAGCTGTGTTGAGAGGGGAGCAAGCGCGGTGGGTGGGCCTGGGCTGTAGGGTCCCTGCCATTTCGGGAGGGGCCTCCTGGTGTTTAGCTCAGGGATGTGTGAAAATGTGTTGGTGAAAAGCGAGTGGCTTACAAGGCCCTTCAGGGGAAGAGGGGCTGGGGCGCGGGGGGCGGCGTCGGGATGAGTGCAGAAGAGACGAGGCCTCTGGACAGCGGAGGAGGAGGGGACGGCGCCGAGGCGCGGTGCCAGCTGCCGTGCACAGGGGCCCCGCGGCGGAGCCGAGCCGCGGGCACGCTCTGCCCAGTCGGGAGAGCTCGGGGAGCCGCGGGAGGGGCGGAGGGGCACAGCGGGGCCCAGGCGGCTGCGGCCGCGGAGCCGGGGCACCTGAGGAGGAAGGAGGGTGGGAGCGAGGGAGGGAGAGGACGGGCGCTGACCGAAAGTGGGGAAAGAAGGTGCAGGCGGGCGGGCGAGAGGGCACGCGCCCTGGCCCAGGGCCGCGGGTGCGGGAGCCCGGCGAGGTCAAGCTGGGCGGCGGCGGGGGCTGTGCCGAGGGAGGAGGGGAAGGCGGAGGCGCGGGGAGCGTGTTTGGGGCGCCGCGGCGAGGAGGGTGGCGGCTGCCGGTGCGCGCGGGGCGCTGTGTGTGCGCGCTCTCCCGCTCGGGGAGGAAGATGGCCCAAAAGGGAAAGTTGGGGTGACGCGCGCGGTCCCTGGAGGCTCGGCAGGGGGCATCGCGGCCAGCCCGACGGAGCGGCGGACTCACAGGCCGGGGGGCGCGCAGTCCGGGCGCTGCCGCGGCCGCCCACTCACTGCAGGTGGCAGCGGGTGCGCTGGGTCCCGGCTGCCGCGGGCGCAGGCGGGCGCGCGGGGGAGCCCGGCCGAGGGATGGGCTGCGCCCCCAGCATCCATGTCTCGCAGAGCGGCGTGATCTACTGCCGGGACTCGGACGAGTCCAACTCGCCCCACCAGACCACCAGCGTGTCGCAGGGCCCCGCGGCACCCCTGCCTGGCCTCTTCGTCCAGACCGACGCCGCCGACGCCATCCCCCCGAGCCGCGCGTCGGGACCCCCCAGCGCCGCCCGCGTCCGCAGGGCCCGCGCCGAGCTGGGCAGCGGCAGCAGCGCGGGTTCCGCAGCCCCCGCCGCGACCACCAGCAGGGGCCGGAGGCGCCACTGCTGCAGCAGCGCCGAGGCCGAGACTCAGACCAGCTACACCAGCGTGAAGGTAAATGCCCGGTGCTGGTACACGCGTTGGGGGCCGCCCGCCCCGTCGGCGGGGCTCGCACGGGTAGGGGGCTCCGGGCGGAGTTGAGTGACCGTGACGCGGTTGGTTTGGAGCGGTTGTCACCAAGGAGGAGTTTACTTTTCATTTGTGGAGATGATGGGGGCCCAGGAAATGTGGTCAGAAAAAGGCCCCTGGAAGGGTCCTGGGAGTGTCCTTACCTGGTCCTGGGGGGCCGGGCGGGGGAGGGAGCGCAGAGGGAAGCAGGTGGGTTCGCCTGTTCTTCCCTTAGGGCAGGAAGACGGTGGCTTGGTTTATGCAGGAAGAGGGGTGGGGACCATTGAGAGCTTTCGGTGTCCAGTCCTGTTGAATGAAATGTGAGCACTAAGCTGAATTTGCATGCCTTGTAGGTGACTGATGCAGTTGCAGCATAAGGATAGATAGTGCCCCATATTGTGATTTTTACCTGGGATTACCAGCCAGGCTGGAGTCTCAGCACAGGGACCCAGCGTAGCGATTTGTGAATGAATGAGTGTTCGTGTTTTGAGAAGAGATGTAGGAATCGAGCAGAGTGGAACCTGTTGTTTGTCATTGTAGCGTTTCTCTGGGTTGGCTACATCCTAGACAGAATTGAGAGAACCGGGGCATGAGTTCAGAGTGTCAGCAGAGCCACCGTGAGGGGACATGGTTTCCAGTGCAGTGCAGCTGTCTGAGGATGATTCTGCACATACATCTGATCTTTCCGGAGAGTGGGATTTTTGAGGAAGTAGAAAAAATTGTTTAGTTGGTTAAAGTAATCATTAAATATTTATTTCTTAATAACAGAAGAAAAATGATTATTTAAATAGTGCCCTCCTGTATGTTCTCTAAGTACTATTACAGTTAAGAGGCTTTTCATTGTGTAAATCTGGGCACTGGGTCTTTTTTCCTTATGGCAAACAAAATGACAGTGGCATATCCCATTGTACACAGAGAAAAAAAATACATCTCTATGACTCGTAATGTCAGGTAGAATCACAGCCTTTACCTGGTCAATAGATTACCAAGAACCATTCCATGGATTATTTGTCAAAGACACATTTGTATTTTTTAATAGTTAAAAACTTGGTCTTCATTGGATGAAGTCAGCCCACAGTGGAGGAGTGAGGAGAAGGATAACATGTTTTGGCCTCAATCTGGAGGTCCAAAAGTTTTTTAATGAACCTAGTGTTTTTTTTAAACAGCATCTAATTTTGTAACATGAAGCTTAACTGATGCTTGCTTGTGGTTGCAGTATTTCTCTGGCAATAATCATAATCACCATTATAATAAAAATACCATTTATTGAGCACCTACTATGTGCCAAGAATAAGCTTTGTCTCCTAACTGTTGAATGTTAACAGTGTGATCTCAGCATAGCATATCCGAAGACTAGAGACTAGGATTCATGACAATATGAACCTACCAGTTGCCCATTTGTTACAGGGGCATGTGCTGAACGCTACACTTTGCTTTTGTCAAGCTCCCTGTCCCCATCCCTGTTCACACACAGTTAGCTTTAGGAGCAATATTCAGGAATGAAAATGTTAAATTTAGTGAAAATATTAAGTTGGGATATTATCCGTAAAGAGCATCCTTTTGCCTGAATGTTGAAGACCTGAAGCAGTAGTTCAGAACGGTGACAGCTCATGAACTCATCATGAACTTTGTGATACTTTTTTTGGTTGCTCAAGAGAAATTGTGAATTTTTGTTTTCCAGAATAACAAGAATCTCAATTTAGTACTTGGCAACTCTAGCTACTCCATGTTTGTTCAGTAAAAGAAAGACTAATGAATTAACCCATTCTCTACATTTTTTAATACTTTCCTCAAGAGGCTACTTAGAGACCAAATGAAGTAAAAACTGGAGGGACAATGATTCCCAATTATTAGCAGCTTGTATAAACTTGTATCAGTCTCATTGCTACTTGACTTAAGTGTTAAAAGGCTTGACCTGGGTAGGAATTGAACTCATTTTGCTTTATCAACAAGATTCCCAAATAAGGGCTTAATTCACTCTAACTTATTACTGGGAATGTTGGAAATGAAACTGCTGCTTCAGTGACCTAACACTACTTTGCATTGTGTGGATCTCAGAAACTATATATTTGAAGTGAAATTGGAGACCAGAGTCACTTATGCAAATCGACCAGAATTATTATCACAGAATTGTCCTCATCTATTTAATAGTATCCTTTTAGGCCTTGTGACTAGGTGTTGTATTGTCTTTTCTCAGTCTTAAAGTTCACGTGTTCTGTGCCCTTTTGTTGCTGAGATAATTTTATAGAAATTTTACTTTCATTTTTTGTAGACTAAGCATTCTTTTTTTTTGCCTTAAGAGTTTGAGATAGCTGCTAGGCGTGTAGTGGTGCCCCACCCCTTTCCAAAGCATGCAGGTGGAAAAGTAAAATCTTTACCATTTGATCCTGTTTACAGTGATGGTAGGTTGTAATAGTTTGCACCCTCCCCGCCCCCCATCATTTTACATCAATTATAAAGTGTATCCTCATTATCTACTTGGCCTCTGGTATTCCCCAGAGTGCAAAAATGTGTGTTTGATCTCTCTCTGTCTTTTCTAGCAATAATTCATCTCATTAAGCTTTTAGAATGATGAAGCATTATGATGTCAAACATGATGTCAACAGGAACCTTCCTGAATACCTAATTTGCAAAAAAAGGGAGTATAAGCATTAATAATTCATGTGCAGTGCAATGATATCACGGGTTTCCATTTCTGGTAAGAAGTTAGATTTGTCTCCCAATTGCTGTAAAAATGCAACTTCCTAGCAATTTCTCTCCCTTTTGCTTGCCTTTTTAAAAATAGTACTCCAACAGGAGAATCCTGCAGGATGCTCACTCTTGATATTGTGCCAGTTTTGTAATTTTTGTTCAGAAATCCTCAGAGGAGATGGTTGAACCTCTTTCTGAGAAGAACCAGGGATTCTTACAAGTTTTCTCATAACAGCTGTTCCTGCTTGTGAACATCTGGGACTAGGCAGCCAGTTGTAGAAAAGAATCTTTATTGACAATACTGTCAGCTTGCTATGACCCCTGTGTAGGTTAACTCTTTTGTGGATCTGACAGTGGACATTGTTAGTTTCCAGGTGGCAGCTTCACCAGCTCCCCACTTTCCCTCCGTTCAAACAGAATGTGCTCATTTATTCATTCAGTATTTGTGGCCAGATTCTGTTGTATGTGCTAAGGATTCAGGGGATATCCATGAAATTTGGTACGCAAAGTCTAATGAGAAGGATAAATCTCTTGTAAAATGGTGTGCCTAAACCAGTTATTAGTGACTTATATATTTTCTGTTCCACGGCATTCCAGAATTTGTAAGGATAATCCTGAGTTGACTATATATAAAAGGAAAATAAATAGATATTTTCACTGACCTTATGGTAGATAATAATAATAAGATTTTATCTGGGGGAGGAGTAGAGCTATTTTGGAAAGAGTCATTTTTGTTTTCTAAGTCAGTGTTTTGAAGTCAGACTTTAGTGTACACCAGAATTGCCTAGAGAGCTTGTTAAAATATAGATTGCTGGACTCCACTCCCAGAGATTCTGATTTAGTAGGTCTTGGGTGGGGCCTCAGAATTTGAATTTCTTTTTTTTTTTAACTTTAGTTTCACTACTTAATAAAAAATTATTTGCTTATTCAATCAAAAATGGTTTATAATAAAAGCAATGATAACACCAATTGTTAGTGAGGCTATGAGGGAATTGGGCCCTCCATATATTGTTTTTTTTTCCCCATTTATTTATTTTATTACATTTTAGGTTTTGGGGTACATGTGAAGAACATGCAAGATTGTTGCATAGGTACACACATGGCAGTGTGATTTGCTGCCTTCCTCCCCGTCACCTACATCTGGCATCTCTCCCCTTGCTATCTCTCGCCAGCTCCCCACCCAGAATTTGATTTTCTAACAAGCTTCCAGAAGATGCTAGCGTTGCTGATCTTGGGACCATACTTTGAGAACCATTGCTTTTTAATGAATTAAATTGTCTGTCTGTTGACCAGGTGAATGAGGTAAGGCCACCTCCAACAGAGTGCATAGTACTACACTGTCTGTATTTGGGGTACTAGTCATAGTACTGCCTTCATCATAGTTTACGTTTGTATGGGAAATCTGCTATCCCTGTACACGAAGTCAAACTCTGAGCCTCTGAGATTGGCTGAAAAGTCTGTAAATGAGGAGAGTGCTGGATCATGTAGCCAAGTCTGCTTTTTTGAGGTTAAGCTTTCCCCAGGATCCTTTTGGGTTTGTATAGGTCGTAATGTCTTGCTTTGCCACCACAAGAGAAGCCTAAAGCAGGGCTAGATTTTACATGATACAGGCACATATTCTCTTCTCAGCTCTTGGAATTCTTGCTAGCCCTTTTACTATCATTTTTCATTTTAAAATGGAGTATAAAATTTAGTAAGATCAAGTGAGTCCTATAAGCTGATTTCATAAAATCCAAGTTTGCCTTCTGCCATTGTATATGTGGTTACAATTTAGTCCCTCCTTTTCCCAACACATTAATTAGAATGAATCAGTGCATTTTCCTAATTTTCATGACTTTCTTCAGTAGGTCTATGGTTAAGGACTATCAGGTAATTCTTCCTTTTGAAGGTAAATAAGTCCTCAAGCCAGGATATAACATAGTGTAAGCTGCCAGCTGTTCAGAGATGATACAGTTTCTACTGAAGTTCTGTTCTGGTGACCACCAGGCATGGCCTGGGCACCAGCAGGACAGGACATGCTGGTGAGGGCAGGGCAGATTCTGTGGCACTAGACTGGTCATGCATTAAGGCCAGTAATCAAAATAGGAAGGAGAGAGTGAGTCCTGTGGAACCAGTTGGGAAGACAGCATCCAGAGTATGGAAAACCAGCAAAGTTGGAGGGGTCAGGTGGGAACACAGGGGCCAGACAGGCAAGAGAAATCTAGAATTTAGGGGTTCCACAAAGGTGACAGCTGTTGAACCAGGTTGAGACTTCT